TTCCGGTCAAGGGCATGTACCTTGGTTGAGGACACATCCCCAGTAGGAGATGTGCAGGAGGCAGCTGATCAATGTTTCTCTCTCATCGATGTTTCTAACTCTCTCTCTCTCTCTCCCTTCCGCCTTGGTTACAAGCTTGATCCCAGCCCTGGTTGGGGTGTGTGCAGGAGGCAACCAATTGATGTATCACTCTCACATCGAAGTTTCTCTGTCTCTGTCTCTCCGCCTCCATTGCACTCTAAAAAATCAATGGAAAAATATCCTCAGGTGAGAATTAACAACAAAATAGAAGTCTTTTTTTAAAAAATGTTTTTACTGCTTTTTAGACAGAGAGGAAGGGAGAAGGTAAGAAATGAGAGAGAAACATCATAGATCAGCTGCTTCCTGTGTGGCCCTGATGGGGAATCAAACCACAACCCTGTGTTTGGTTAACAGGTGGAGGAAGCTCAATCACTGAGCCCACACCCATACGCCATAAAAAAGAAGGAAATCTTACTCTTTGTGACAGCATCATGGACCTGGAAAGCATCATGCTAAGTCAAATAAGCAAGTGAGAAAAAGGCAAGTAGCATATGATTTCACTCATATGTGAAATCTAATGAATAACAGATTAACAAGCAAAACAGACAGACTCACAGGTAGAGAGAACAGGCTGATTGCTCACTATGTGGGGTGGGAAGGGGGCTGGGTGAGGAGGGGGTGGTGGAGGGTTTGAGCCAAGAAGAGAAAAAACTCATGGACATGGACAACGGTGTGGTAATTGCTGTGAGGAGGGGAGGTGGAGGAGGGAATAAAGGGGATAAATGGTGTTGAACGGAAACTTGACTTGTGGTGGTGAACACACAATACAGTATACAAATGATGTGCTGTAGAATTATGCACCTGAAACCTGTATAATTTTGTTAAATAAGGTCACCCCAATAAATTCAATAAAGGGGGAGGGGAGTATGCCTCAAACACTGTACCAGGCATCATCAATCATTTTTAAAAAAATATATTTTACTGCCCTAGCCGGTTTGGCTCACTGGATAGAGCATCGGCCTGGGGACTGAAGAGTCCCGGGTTCGATTCCAGTTAGGGGCATGTACCTTGGTTGCAGGCACATCCCCAGTAGGGGGTATGCAGGATGAAGCTGATTGATGCTTCTCTCTCATCGATGTTTCTAACTCTCTATCCCTCTCCCTTCCTCGCCGGCCAAGCCCCTGCCTTTGTCTGGAAGGACGTCCAGAAGGTCTCCCGGTCTAATTAGCATATTAACTCTCTTTTTTTCAAGTAATATTTTACTGATTTTTTACAGAAAGGAAGGGAGAGGGATAGAGAGTCAGAAACATCGATGAGAGAGAAACATCAATCAGCTGCCTCCTGCACACTCCCCACTGGGAATGTGCCTGCAACCAAGGTACATGCCCTTGACTGGAATTGAACCCGGGACCTTTCAGTCCGCAGGCCGACGCTCTATCCACTGAGCCAAACCTGTCAGGACACATCAATCATTTTAAATCAAGAAAGTTGCTGTTAGGTTACACTGGAAGCTTAGTAAAGTGAAATAAAGGGATAAGAAAGCCAAAGTTGTAAAATACAAGATTTCATGGGAGAAGTGTGAGCAAATATCTTACTAATAAAGCAGGAAAGTGAGAAACTGAGAAATATACTTTAGGATGCCTTCAATCACAGTTATCTAAATTTTGGGAATAATATGAACCAAATCACTTATTAAAACATGTGCACTGCCCTAGCCCAGTGGTCAGCAAACTGCGGCTCGCGAGCCACACGCGGCTCTTTGGCCCCTTGAGTGTGGCTCTTCCACAAAATACCACGTGCGGGCGCGCACATACAGTGCGATTGAAACTTCATGGCCCATGCGCATAAGTCGGTATTTTGTGGAAGAGCCATACTTAAGGGGCCAAAGAGCCGCATGTGGCTCGCAAGACACAGTTTGCCGACCACTGCCCTAGCTGGTTTAGCTCATTGGATAGAATCTCTGCCTGTGGACTGAAGGGTCCCAGGTTTGATTCCAGCCAAGGGCACATGCCTGGGTTGCAGGCTCGATCCCCAGGGGGGGGCGGGCAGGGGGCAGTCG